TTTTTTTTTCTGGCTGGATTTTTGCCTCTTTTCTAACTCAATAAAAGTTTTTTTTTGTACCAGAACGCCTGGTTTTGACTTTGTCATTGTTAAGCCCTGTACTAAATCTGCTTTCTTGTGAAACCGAACGTGAATTATGGTCGGTGTCGGCCGTCTCGGAGCGGGGAAAGCCGCCGCAGTGACGGCTTGGCACGATGCTGCCCTCTACCGGACAGCTCAGGGCGCAGCACGCCGCCTCATGGACACGGTCACAAAATAATATTTGCGTCTGATTCTGAAATAATATGCAGTGGACATTGAAACGGTTTTATTTTTTTTTAACAAAAGCAAAGTATGACGTCAAAGCAGCACTTGAACGTTTTTGATGGACAGCTGATTAACTTTCTTTCGAGGACGTATTGCAAACTTTCCACAAATATTACAACTGGCAAATCATATGAATTATTGACACAATTTGAAAAGCTTCAGGATGTTATTAAACACTCCATGCTACGGTGACGTTAATTAAATATCGCTTTTTTATGACCTACATGGTTTAATTTTTTTTTTTTAAGGTAAAGGCTGGCAGTTTAACTGGAATGACTCGAGTTAAGGTTTATTTTCAGTGTACCGCGTTGATGTATTTTAAGTCTGCCTCTTCTTCCGTACTACAATTATTGTTACTCTGTCAATCTTGGACAGAAACTTCAAAGTTTTTTTGCAGGAATGCACCCGGAAGAATTCACAGCTAGTGTATCAACATCCACTCCTTCTGTACGTCACTGCGCATGTAAATAAACTACATCTCCCATGTCGCACGACAATGTTTTCCTACGTTTGCGCGCCCCCGCACAGAGCGAGCATGGGAGTTGTAGTTCCGCCAACGCGCGCCTCCCTTTTCAGCGAAAGCGGCCACCTCCGCCATCAAAACTACACATCCCACAAGGCCCGGTGGCAGGTTTCCAGGGATTCCCCCCTCCTCCCTCCGCCCCTCCCCGCTTGCCCTCCTCCCAGATTGCTTTCACTGAAGTAAAGATGTCTGCGGCGGGTGCGGGTGGCTGCGGACCCGGACCCGGTTCGGGCGCCGGTTCCGGGGCCTCCAACCCGCGAAAGTTTAGCGAAAAGATTGCCCTCCACACTCAGCGACAGGCCGAGGAGACCGCTGCCTTCCAGGAGGTCATGATGGACATCTCTTCGACCCGGGTGAGTCTGGAGTCAGGGAGGCAGCAGAGAGAGAGAGAGACACATCCCGGGGGAGGGCAGGCCCCTCTCGGGGTATCCGAGATGCAGGGGCCCCGGGCTAGCCGGCAGCGCGGCCATCACCCCCCGGGCTGTCTCCTGACGGCGACCAGCCCCTAATTTGAGCAGGCTGGCGCGTCCGGAGGGAGGAGGGAGGAGGGACGGCACAGCCGCCCCACACGGGGCGCAGGCGGCGCGCCTGTGCCGTTTGCCCAGCTCCGGGGCACGGGCAGAGCAGGGGTACCCCGCTCCGGGGACACGGGCACCCCTCTCCCCGGCACCCTCCGGGGGCTGTGCGGTCGTCAGGAGTCGAGTTTTCCAGGACCGGACTGGCGGGGATGCGCGCTGAGTTGGGTGCGTGGGGGTGGGAGAGCGGGTCGCGAGTGACAAGTTCCCGTTTGCCCTTTTTTTTGTTTGTTTGTGGGTGGTGGGAGGTGGGGAGCCCCCTCTGACTCTCCCAGGAGGACCCCCGGGGGCGACAGGCG